ACAAGTGTTTTTAGTTACAAAAAATATCAATGTTTTTTCCAAATAAAAAGTTACTTAGGTATACCTATTTTTGAAATACGTGCTTATAAGTAAATAATATATATATGGTAGGTAACAGACAATCGTGTTTTCAATACAGGTAGTAAATGTGCCATTGGCAGCGTATAGGTAATAATAAACAAATTCTACAAGTTCTGTCGAGTGTATTCTTAGGACTACTTTCAAAAAGTGTCATTTTTTTGGGATGACGACAGGGTATGAAAATTAAAAATCTAATTAGTCCGTAAGTTAGATATTTAAAAAATATTAGACACGTATTTTTTTATTTTGTCGTATAATAAAACCATACTTAGATAACACGAATCAAAGTTTAGGAGTGGGGGCTAAAACGTCATTTCTACGTATAAAATGTACATAAAAGTGACGTCACACGACATTTCAAATCAATATATCGTGGAAAGTATTCGGTTCTGTTAGAAAATAAAAAATACGTGTGTAATGATTTAAAATAATCTACCAGACGGACATTAAAATAAAAATTAGTCGTCTATCCTATTACCGTACAAAAAAGTCTTTATTTAAAACCAACGACACCATCTAGGTACCTATTGCGATCTTTACATAGGAATTAGTATTACTAGGTACCTACTTGCAAGCTCCACAATCATGCATCTAATCAATACTAATATTATAAAGCTGAAGAGTTTGTTTTTTTTGTTTGTTTATTTGATCGCGCTAATCTCCGAAATTACTGGTCCGATTTGAAAAATTCTTTCTGTGTTGGATAGCATTTATCTAGGAAGGCTACAGGCTATAAAATATCACGCTACGATTAATAGGCGAGCAGAGCGAGTGAAACCGCGCGGAATCTTATTTAACTCGTCGAGTACCGGTTTTGTAGACACAATTATAGAACAATAGGTTGCGGTCACCGGTGACCGCATATAATGACGGTACTTGACGAGTTAAATAAATAAATACAAATTGTCACTTTGAAATTAGAATCTATATTTTTTAATTATTTACTATTTATATTTATTTTGCTACCCCCACACAACCCTTATAAGTATAGCTTGAGGGACAAATAGATAGACACTATTTAACATATCTACATATTAATATCCAAACTATTGCTGATGAGATGACTCACAGTCATAACTTTAAGTAAGTACACATAAACAGGAAACGGTCAAAAGTGCACTAAAATAAAAACCCAAAAATAAACTAACATAACATAACATCACGCCTTTTATCCCCGAAGGGGTAGGCAGAGGTGTACATTATGCCACTGGACAATGTAACACCCACTTTTCACTATTTATGTTATGTGTCCCATGTAATGCGGGGTGAGCCTATTGCCATATATCGGGAACAATTCCAGACTCCGTGCTACTACAGAGATTTTTTTTTAAAACCCAGTAATGCGTTTCCCGACCCGGGAATCGACCCTTGCCCGGAAGTCGCACTTGCGACCACTCGGCCAACGAGGCAATCCTAAAAATAAATTAAATATTTACTATTTGTCTTCTTTGTAGTTTCAATGTATTTTTAAACGTTTTGATGTGTACAATAAATATTTTAATCAAATAATTTTAGGTTATTGAGATTGAGCACGATCCTTTCCATCTCCAATTTTGGCAACGACAAACATGCCTACATGTGGCGGCTCCTTGCAACCTTTATCAAGAACACTTGTAAAAAAAAAACTTAGCATTCAGTTTTGGTACCTAATTAAAAAAAAACCATCATCGGCCTATAAACTGCTGGCTGGGCAAAGACCTCTTTTAACACGAAGAAAAAAAAACATTAACCACGACGCTTGATCAAGGCGAGTTTATATGAAGATACCTTGAAAATTCAATCGTCACTGGACATTGACAGTGTTGTCTATATAGCATCATGGCATCGTTCGCAATCTTCACCCTGTATTACCATTACCAGTCTCAATTCATATAAGAACCAGTTACAGCTTTACAAACTTGAACTTGAAACAACTAAGCAACGTGGGTCCGGTTCGGGTGACCATGGTTTTCGGTTAAACGACAATCTGTCAGAGAATCTTCTATTCAATAACAAAAATGAAGACACGTTTAAATGATGCTCACTAGATGGCGCTTTATGAGGTAATTTCGGAACGGGGTGGTTTTTAGTCAGTAAGTCTGACACTCCCTCTCGCCTCACCTAGGCGGGAGACGTAACACGATGACTTTCCCCCTTAAAAAAAATTAGGGTAACCTCATTAATAAAGGTAAAATTGCCTTCTTTTTCTCTTCTTTGACAACCGAATCAAAGAAGAAGAAAAGGGTATTTTTTGTGTATTCTGAATGTAATACGATATTCGAATGAGCACAAGCTTCCAATCAAATAAGCCATCATTATCCTAGTAACTAATCTTAATACATATATTTCTGATGAAACATTGACTAGCGTCGTGGTGGCCTGGAGGTGTAAGACGCCTGCTTCACATGTATGAGGGTGCGGGGTCGAAACCTACCAACGGCAAGTACCAATCCGACAAACAGTGAAGAATTATTTAGACATCACTGACAAATAGTGAAGGAAAACCATCGTGAGGAAACCAGGGCTTACAATTTCTAATTATAAGTTGGAAATCGCCAACCCGCATTGAGCTAGCGTGGTGACTAATGCTCTAAAGTCTAACCTTCTCCGTGTGAGAAGAGGCTTGGCTCAGCAGAGGGAATTTATAGGCTGTTGATGATGAGTGACAAGAAAATCGGTACAATACCTTTTCCCCTAGTAAACACCCGCGTTATGAGCCGGATGTTGGTGCTTATTATCATTATTGAAATAATTTACTTGATATAAATCAAGATAAAGGATGCGGTTACACGAACTTCTAAGATATGTGTCATGTTATAATATCTTAGTAGGAATAGCAATCATTGGCGAAAACATTAAATAAAATTCTACTAACATTTTCCTGAAACAAGAATAACAGCTCACACATAGGACCCACTTAGTTTTTAATCAAATTTCCGTGGTGTTTGGAGACTGGGCTTCACCCAATTATACAGTCTCTTTTTTGTGCCCCCAGGCTTAATTCATTCTGTCTCCTGTTTTCATGGTTGTATCTACGGTAGATCCTGGCTTACAGGAGTTGCAGCAGTTTTGGGAGGACGTGGCGGGCTTGTCCTATTAAATAAAAACATTTTCCTGCTTCACATTTCATTGTTTGCATGTGAAATTCTTTAAAAACAACCCTTTCTTGGAGGGCGAAAGTGTGCACATGCAATATGCTTACATAAAATTAACGTAACGCCCAGTTCCAGTTACTAACGGTAAAACGGGGAGAATAGAATTCGAGGGGTGAATAGATAGTAGATACAGAACCGGAGTGAACTGGGTACTTTTCTTAATCAAAAATATATTATTTCGTCAGTTCAATACAATAGAACATTAAAAAATAATGACACTTTCATTAATTGATTTTATGACTTACCTAAGTTTAGCTAAACACATGAGATCACAAAACACAATCACCTTAAAATTCATAGAATACTATCGATTTGACAGTTCGAAAAAAGTATTGAATTTGACTAGTTGGTACATAAGTACCCAATTAAAGTTGGGAAAATGTGCTAACATTTATTTACCCCATTCCTGTATCTATTCATCATTTGAATTCTATTCACCCCTTTTAACGGTACCTAATGTAATTATTCATATTGATCGATCGTTTTGCCGTATACCATAACCAACCCGAGAGTTTGTACCTAATTCTTTATTTACACATTTCATAGAATGTCTTTAAAAAATACTCAATAGTACAACTCTTTTTAAATATGGATACCCTACTCTATCCGTTCAATCGTTTTCACGTATCATATAAATAAAAGAATTTATTAAATATTTGTGTAAATATGTAGTTTTTATATGGTGGCTATTTTTGCATCGCGTCTATGCGACGTAGATGTTTCCACGATTACACCAACAAAGACATTTTGCTTTTTTAGCCAAGTTATTTGGTAGGCGTAGGACCATCCACCTCCAAAGTGGACAGACGACCTGATTAAGGTTGCACGGACAGGCTGGAAGCAGGTTGCTTCCAATTCCAAACAGCCTATCTGGAAGTCTTTGGGGGAGAGGCCTATGGTCAACAGTGGACCCCAATGGCTGATATTATAATGTTGATGATGTAGATATTTTTTTTTCCAACAGAACTTATTTCGATCCAGACTATACAGAGACAGAAATTATTTCGATAACAGATAGGTATGGTTTTTTTTACGTTTTTCGCATAAAGCACGCAATTTACTGTACCTAATTATATAGCTATTGTATCTGTTAGAATTTAACTCGTCGAGCACCGTCATTATAGACACAATTATAGAACAATAGGTTGCGGTCACCGGTGTCCGCTTGGTGTTTGACAGTTTAAGCAACATTTGTTTAATTATCTTCACAATAACGTAGTCAACTGTATACTTCATAATCCTGGTATCTTCTTACAGTCGGCAAAAAATGGCGAAAAGTGCACTTTAATTTAGATTGTGAACGACATTGTGTGTTAACTGACATTTAATTAATTGTTAACCACAGCTTCTTTGAAAAAAATTGACAAAACTAAACAAATATCAATGTTAATGCACTTACATAATTATGCAGATTATGTCTATGCAGAAATTCGTATTTAAATAATACTCATCTATGCGAAATTCCAAGTTTGAAATTCTTGACGATGTTGTTGGTGCGTGATAATGAGTTATAAAATAATTATGTAGTCCAGTTAAGCCTAATTACATTTCTGAGGTCTTAAAAAAATAACAATTATGAAAAATTACGATGCAACATAAGTTAAAATGCATCGAAATGATCAAAGAAAATATTTTGACCTTAACCTAAAGGAAAATAACACAGAATCCCACACGGATACAAATTGACAATGACAGCAAAACAATTTGAAATCAAAATCGAAAATTCATGGAACGACGATGATTCAAGTCAAGCCATCCGACATGGCAATATAAACGGGCAAAGGCCACGTTCATTGCCAGTCGAGTTCTGTGCGTGAGATCACACGCTACACTATTTTAGTTATCATTTTTTAAATATTTTTTTTAAGTTCTTTTTTTAAAAAACGCCAAAATGGCGTCTGCCGTGATTAAGTTAAGTGCCATATTGTTGTTAGTTGCTGTGTGCGCCGCTGATGTCTGTTAGTATCTGTTTTTTTTTTATTTTCTTTTTTTTCCAGTGATATAAAGCTCGGACACGAAATTATATGAGTTTGAAGAACTGCAATGTTTTTATAGAATTTAATTAATTTATCACCTACTGTTATTTAATTGGATCCGTTTTAGTATATTGGTAAATAAATATAATTAATACCTAGTTCATCTCGTAATATAATAAGTATAATGTCAACAGTCAAGGTGAAATTCTTTGTAAACAAATTAATAATAAATTAAATTAATATTCTTTGGAAACCGGTATTGGTAAATGTAATAGACAGATTATTATGTAGAATCGTAGATGTCTGTCCGCACTTTTTAACTTGTATATTTATTAATTTTTTTCATTCATAAACATCGCTTTATTTAAGTGAATATGTAAAACAATAATACCTATGCAATTATTTTGCAAGATTTAATAATAGGACGAAAAGATAAAAGCTCGTAATATTTTATGCCAATATTTTTTTATCTTTTAAGGAATGTGGTTCGATAGTTTTCTACTAAGTATAAATTACCCCCAACTGCTCCTAGAAGATGGGATACTTTTAAGTAACATAATAGGGTACCTAGTATTCTAAATTTTATTTTAATGTCCCTCTGGTAGATTGTTTTATAACATTACACAATACACACATAATATTCATATATTGTTTCTTTTCTTACAAAATTAAACTGTCAAACACCAAGCGGTCACCGGTGACCGCAACCTATTGTTCTATAATTGTGTCTATAATGACGGTACTCAACGAGTTAAATTCTTTCCAGAATATATTGATTTGAAATATTGTCTGACGTCACGATTTACTACATTTTATAGGGTAGCGTTGACGTAACGACTTCCCACTCCTAAACTTAACTCCGTTTTATCTATGTATTTTTTTCTTATACGACAAAATACGAAAATCGAGTCTAATATTTTTTTCATTATCTAGGTAACTGACAAACTAATTACATTTTTAATTTTCTCAAAATAACAAAGCACCATGTTTTTGTAACTATCTGTACCTACCTATAACTTTTTTATTTATGTTTTTTTTAACTATCAAGTTCCATCAAGGATTTTAAAAATAGAATAGGTAGAGATTAAAAATTTGTATCGCATTTGCGTAAAAAATATTGATGTTATATGTAGTGGTGGCCCGGAGGTTTAAGGCGCCCCCTTCTCATGCATGAGAGTGCGAAAATTGAGGGTTCCAAATCTACCTACAGCAAGTACCAATGTGACTTTTTCCGAGTTATATGTAGATACTTTCTAAGATTATCTAAACACCACTGACAAACGGTGAAGGAAAACATCGTAGGGAAACCTGAGCTTATAATTTCTAATTATAAGTTTGTTATCGCCAACCCGCAAGCGCGCTCAAACCTTCTCCGTGTGAGAAGAGGCTTTGCTTAGCAGTAGGCTGTTGATGATAATGATGAAATTGATTCAGTGATGAATTACGTGTTATAATTTATACCGTACCCACATAATAAATGTAAAACAGTTTTTTCTATGCATTTTTAACCCGTTGGCAATTGATGGTTAGTTCCGTGAACAACTAGATTTATTTTAAAGTAGTTTTGTGTTTCTTGATTTATTTGATAACTCACATTTTGAATACCTATAATATAAACTAAATCACTTTATAATACCTAGTACGTACTTATTTTTAATCCTACTTATTACATACTAGCTACGTCCGCGCGGTTTCACTCGCTCTGCTCGGCGCCTATTAATCGTAGCGTATTATTTAGCGTATATTTTATAGCCTTTAGCCTTCCTCGATAAATAGGCTATCCAACACAAAAAGATTTTTTTCAAATCGGACCAGTAGTTTCGGACATTAGCGCGTTCAAACAATCAAACAAAAAAACAAACTCTTCAGCTTTATAATATTAGTATAGATGAGAAAGTTTGTGAGGATGTATGTATGTGTTTGCTACTCTTTCACGTCAAAACGGCTGAAGTGATCGAGATGAAATTTTGAGCAGAGGTAGCTTATAGTCTGAAATATAACATAGGCTCCTTTTTATTCCACGGACACGCGGGCGAAACTGCGAAATTACAACATTTGGCAAAGTAGTAATTTTTATGTAGTTAGATAAATAAAAAATGTATAGGTATAAAAATGATTAGAAAAGGGGTGTTTGTAATAGAATACGCATAAAAATCTACTTGTTTATAAATAAAAAATAAGACATATTTTGTTTTCACAATTCTAAACATTCTGCTATATTTTCAAGTTGAAAATTTTAAGTTGGACTACAAACCTCATTTTTGGCAATCGATTAGACTATTGCAAGCCATGTATGTATGTACATTATGTCACAATGTTATTTATTACGGGTCAATGGAACAAATAGAATGTGTGCGCCGTAGAACAATATTTTTTTTTTAATTATTATAACCTGCCATGAGTGTTGCTATACCTAAATTTTATTTTATAAAACAAAAGTAAAAGGTACTCACTGCGACTATAAACAACTAGATTGCGTTTGTTTTGTTTTCTTTAATCATATTGACGTGTTAATACACGCTAGTGGCATTTAAAAATCTGGTTTAAAAAGGTCTGGTTTATAATAAAGCGTTTAAAAATAAACCTCATAATATCTGCGTGTAATCAATTCTTGTTGTTATTTTTTGTTGACGTAAATATATAAACCTACACGTTGAGATTGTTGTCTGGATCAGTTTTAGTAAAAATGAAGTAGGTACTAAAAAGAATCGCTCAGTAATTAGGTTATAAATAGTGTAAAAAGTAGCCTTCTAGATCAGGGCTGTCCAAACAAAGGCCCGCGGGCCGCATGCGGCCCGTGGCTTGTTTTCATGTGGCCTGCGACAAAAAATTTAATCTCAAATCTTATGTGCAACAACAATAATAAAAGTCAGTGTATAATTTGTGTATAAGTTTTGTCTGTGAATAAAGAATACAATGTTAAATGTCATAATACAACTGACAATATTTTTCTGGTCTTCCAGAAAATATTCCAATCCCTTCGACGTATTGAAGTGAAGGAGTAATATACATACAAACTTTCGTTCGCATTATTATTGCGCATTCTGATATCGAACCTAAAAATCTTAACAACTTCTACTGTATATATGTCTCTAATTAAGTGAGAAAAGAACTGTCTTCTGCCTAGGTATAGGCAGTTTTTTTTCTTGTCTTCTGCTGTTAATTTGCTACTTTTTACGTCTTTTAAAGGGTTAGTTCCACTAATCTCCCTCATGTATTTTAACCCGACGTGTGTCTAAACGTATTTTCTACTGTGTCCACGCGAGACACAGTGTATTTTCTATTTTGTCTCATATAGGGTTATAGGCATTAAAGGGTTAGTTTTTTTTATGGCTTAAGCCGGTAATCGGGCAGACGTAATGATGGTAAGCAATCGGCGTCGCCCATCGACGCCTGGAACACCAGAGGCGTTACAAGTGCGTTACCGGCCTTTTGGGGATTAGGAGTTTGAGGATCGTTGGGGATTCAGAAATTGGGGAGATTGGGGAAGAAGAGGGTAATTGGGCCTCCGGTAACCTAACTCACACGACGAAACACAACGCAAACGTTGCTTCACGTTGGTTTTCTGTGAGGCCGTGGTATCACTCCGGTCGAGCCGGCCCATTCGTGCCGAAGCATGGCTCTCCCACGCTAAATTACTTCTAGTAATCTCCCTCATGTCTTTTAAAAGGTTAGTTCTACAAATCTTCTTTAATAGCTCTAAGAGCATCTATGTCATTCATTTTCCTTTTTCGAATTTGAAGTTTTAAATTAGCACTCAGTTATTAATAACAACTTTGTTGTACATCTAAGTAATTACACTTAACTGTCTCTGGGGCCTTCGAGTTATAGTTAAGTTATTAAGTCATTAGATCGACTGTATATTTATTTAATTTTATATTTGCAGATAAGCTATTTATTAAGTTGTCACATCTGATTTATTTACGGAATTGCCAGCGTAGAAACAAATAAATCATTTGAACCGACTTCAAAAAAAGGAGGTTCTGAGTTTGATGTATATGTATGTATGTTTATGCGTGACTATCTCGTGATTGGCTAATCCGTTTTCAGAAAAATGTTTGTTACTCTTTTTTTTTTAAACTGTCAAACACCGCGAGGACACCGGCGACCGCAACCTATTGTTCTTTAATTGTGTCTATAGTGACGGTACTCAAAGGGTGACGGGGGGAAAATCATCGAATGACTTAATTGGATAGTAGAAACATCTCATTTTTGCAATGAAACGTCTCATATGTTTAACCGACTCCAAAGAGAAAAGAAGAAGGATCTTAGTTTGACTTAGTTAGTAGTATGTGTGTATGTTTGTGCGCAATTATCTCGCGATGTGCTGAAGCGATTTTGATGCAGTTTTCAGAAAAGTGTTTGTTACACCTAGGAGAAGGATTTAGTATATTAATTAATCGACTTCAAATAAAAAGAGGGAATTGAAGCCAGTTTTCTTAAACGTAGTTTATAGTTATATTATTGTGTCAATGATTAATTTATAACTGTGTTGGCCTATTCGTCATTTATCGAATGCATACAACCTACAAATGAAAATACATATACATAGATATCTACATAGAATTAATTAATTGATAATTGCACCACAACAGTATCAATACACATTGCAATTATTTAAAGTTAATAGAGGAAGTGTTACAAACAATGCAGTCTATTGGAAATTAATTGGACTTTAATCGCCATTGTTATCGATATAAACAATTAATCGCTAATTCTAGTGAATCCAATTATAAAAGTATTTAACTATTAATACGAGACGAAGATTTTATTGGTATCGGATATACATTGGTTCTCACGAGTATAGAAAGTTTATTTATTCTATTTTTGAACTCATCCTTTGTTGGGTCCCTTTGTCTATCGGCTATGACACCAACCTATGTTAAAAGAAAAAAAAAACTAAAAAAAAATATCAATAGTCGATTGGCAGACGTCCACTGCTAGAGAAAAGTCACCCCCCCCCCCACCTCCCCTTAGGATAT